ACCACAGCTTTTTGTCACGAAGTGATCCACAAAGCAACACCCATCTATAGTAGAGGATGAAATATTTACTGGAACTGCATCAGGGAAAGAGTTAACTCATATGCGAACTCATATTCTGTGGTCCCAATTCATTGACTGACTGATTGACTGATGGATGTTACTTATATACTGCCCATCTCTCCATAGGGAACCCACGGCTGCTTAAAGCAATTAAAACTATACAAAGGATGTACAAGGAGAACTGTAGACTTCAAGTGATGTATTTAAGATTCTGCTCAGTGCAGCTCATTTTGAACCTTTTTCTCCCTAATCCAAGAGTAAGGGTGGGGTTGATCTGTTTTATTAAAAGAAAATGTAGGGATGTATGTGACTGAGCAGGCATGTAGCATGCAATTGAATCAGTTATGACATTCTAAGCCACTGGTTCCCAACTGTGGGTCCTCAGATATTCTTGGACTACAACTCCCAGAAATCCTGGCCAGCACAGCTAGTGGTGAAGGGTTCTGGGAGTTTTAGTCCAAGAACATCTGGAGACCCAAGGATGGGGACCACTGTTCTAAGTGAAAACTTAACTCAGGCAATGATTGTGTTGGCTACATGGGAGCATCAGTGTAAGTCACCAAACAATCAGATGCAAAGAGTGATGGCAGATGATTGTTCTCCTGTCCCCCTTGTGGGTTTTCCGGAGGTAATTTTCTGACTGCTGTCTAAGTCAGGTTACTGGACCATTAATCAACCATTACTCTATTACCTCTGCATCACCATTGATCTGTTAACTTCACGTGGCTTTCCCAATAATTTGGAGAAAATAATTCAGCCCTCTCTTCTTCTTAAATACCAGGATGTGAATGTTTCTGATAAGAATGCCTGGAAGCCCATTCACAATGCTGCTTTCCATGGTCGTCTTGGATGCCTACAACTCCTTGTTCGATGGGGAGCTACTTTAGATGATGTGGATAACAATGGAAATCTCCCAGGTACGCCAAGGGAAGTGCTCTGCCATTATAGTGAACTTGGGCAAAAGGTGGGGAAGGGACAAGTGTCTAAATATGAAATATCTCAAACAGACAGTGCTGGGGAGCCTGAAGGCTCTTTTTTGAACAGATGCTCTTCTCAAATCTTTGTGAAATATTTTTCTTTACTGTTATTCCCAGTACTGGCCCAAGAGATTTTGCTGCCTAAGGTGAAAAATTCTGGTGGTTTGCTCCAGCCACCACACTCACGGAGCCATGAGTGGCAGCAGGCGGGGGAGCAGCCGTCCAGCCATTACTACTACCCACCCTTGACTGCCTAAGATGGCCATTGTCACTGGCCTCCTTCCCCTTGATGCCATCCACCTGCTAATCCTGGTCATTGTTCAGCTGGATGTGTGAATAGTGTCTGCCCTGGGAGTCCCTTGGAGCCAAGTAATTATGGGGTTGTTGTTGTTTAGTCATGTCCAGCTCTTTGTGACCCCATGGACTACAGCACACCAGGCCCTCCTGCCTTCCACTGCCTCCCAGAGTTGGGTCAAATTCATGTTGGTCGCTTCGATGACACTGTCCAACCATCTCATCCTCGGTCGTCCCCTTCTCCTCTTGCCTTCACACTTTCCCAACATCAAAGTCTTTTCCAAGGAGTCTTCTCTTCTCATGAGATGGCCAAAGTACTGGAGCCTCAGCTTCAGGATCTGTCCTTCCAATGAGCACTCTGGGTTGATTTCCTTTAGAATTGATAGGTTTGTTCTCTTTGCAGTCCAGGGAACTCTCAAGAGTCTCCTCCAGCACCACAATTCAAAGGCATCAATTCTTCGGCGGTCTGCTTTCTTTATGGTCC